CGGATGTGCAAACCGCGCTGCCCAAGAATGTGGAAAAGTCCGCCGTAGTGGGATCCATCATCACCAGTCTGGGCATTTTGCGCTACCGTGATCTGGGTTAGTTTGCTCAAAAAACTTTCAAATCATATTTCCCATTAATAAAACTTATTTTCCCTTAGATATTTTGGAATCGCTGACGCAGTGGCTCTTAAAAAACAGTGAAATCTGCAGACCTCAAGATCTCAGCGCCTACTTCCTCACCTCGGCCCTGCTCAACTTCAAGAGCGCTCAGATGGAGGAAGTGGGCAACAAGCTGATGAAATCTATTGTCCGCGAGGATTTTACGAAGCAATCCGAGTGGCTGAGCTTTGTGTGGTCACTCACAATGCTGGGTCTGGTAGAACACAGCCACTTGGCTTCCGTTTTAAGGTATGTTCTAAACTATTAATCTTTTGAATCCTTCACGAATCTTATATTAAATGTTCTTGCAGTGCGGACTTCCTAGAGACATTGCAAAAGGACAAGGCTGGGGTCACAGCAACTTCCAAAATGAGGCTACTCAACCTGAACAGCTATGCCCAGTTATTAGCCACAAATTACAAGGGTCCACTGCTGGCCGCCGACAGTCCTGTCTACCAGGTGCCCATGGCGCACCCTAAAGGAAAACAAGTGCTTGTCAACGGCATGCTGGATGCACTCAAAAGCCTGCTGCCGGCCAGCAATCATTTCCAGAGCGCGGTGGACAGTAAAATGGGCTTTCTGATAGGTAAGAAAGTTATCATAACACCGTAAAATTCTCTAATTGGTTTTAATTTTAGATGCTTTGTGCCACTTCGATGCTAACAAAAACCCCCTGCCTTTGGACAAGGAAAACCCCAACGCCATTAGGTGATTTTACCACTTTCCACTTTATTTTTAATATTCATTAATCCGGATTTTAGGGTGGCGCTAATGGTCATCGATTTCCATGACATTTGCCACGGAACGCATCGTAGCGGCAATGGCGTCACGAATCTGACATTTGACCTGCTGGAAAAGAGTGGTTACCATGTTATTCCCGTGCCCTACAACGAGTTCAGCACCAGTGACAAACTACTGAAGCGCGTTCAGTATTTGGAGTCGAAGTTCAAGGCGATTGCAAGTAGCAAATAATTGCAGTTGTAGTTTATTTAATTTTCCTTGTCATGATTGATCAATATTTGAATTGTTTAAATTTTGTAAATGTTAAATTAGGCGCTGAATTACAAGCTAAACCCAAAATCTGTTATGTTACCGTGAGTCTAGTTGCATAGTTTAGGCAATACGTTTAAGTATAGTTTAGACATCATCTAGTTTACTGGAACGTTGCTTGTTCATGCCCACTTTCCACCACTGACCCGTCTCCTGGAACTCAGTGGCCACGGCAGCCAGGGTGTGGAACAGGCTGCGTGCCAGCATATGAAGATTGCCGATGTGCAAAATGAATTTGGGGTCATAGACCTTCTCGATATCATCAATCTTGTAGTGATCTCGCGTCTCCCGTTCCGTCAGGCAAATACAGTTCCAAGGAGCCCAGTCATCACTCTTGTTCCAGCGCGGCAATCTAAAGTGCACAAATTTGTAGTTAAATTTATAAGTGCGTAGAAAGTTTACCTCAATTCGCTTAGATTCTCCGTCTTGCTAAGAGCAGAGTGTCCATGCCATATTTTATCTATGATGTGGCGCACATCATCTGGCTGTATTACGAAGGCAAATGATGTGGTACATTTGCGTTTGCGCTCATCCCGATGGATGCAGCGCAGGATAGACTGGTAGACCGTGTTCTCTGTAGCCGTAAGCTATGATTATATTTAGATATATTAGCTTTAATAGTTTAATACTGATAGTACTTACCTTAAGATAGTAGCAGTGTTTGCAGGTATCCACATGGCTCTGGCGAGTCCTAATGGCAAACTCGGCATAGGTCTTAACCTTTTTGCACACTATGCACATGCGCGATGGAGTTCCTAGAGTCTCACATTTCAGAAGTTATTCAAGGTATTTTTAAAATCAATACTCACTTTGCTTGGGCTCGCCCTTTTGGAACTTAATCAGTTCGAAAAAGAGATGAGTCTGCCGTTTGCGCAAAATTTCTACATCGAAGGATTTAGCATAGAGCAGCAGATTCTTTTCGCGTTCAAAGAGATCAAAGAGTTCGGGAAAGTTGGGAAAGCATGTCTCCTCAGTGAGCACTACCATGACTTGACGGATAAATTCTAAACGTTCCTCCTTGCTACGCGGCTTTCGTAGATCCTTGTAAATCTCGGTGAGGAAGCGCACTCGCTGGGTGCTCAACAGATCCATATGGATCTTGGTGTCCTTGTAACCGATCCATTCGATCGGTTTGCCCATCTCCTTCAACAGCTGATCATTGCGGAAGTCCTCCATGGCCTTGAAGACGAGATTACGCTGCCGCTCCACGCCGTTTAGAAGTTGGATCTCCTTGTCCAGCAGAATGTTCACCTCTGCAATGCGAGCAGGGCCCTCATAGTTGGCCGTGATCCTCTTGAGCTCGGCCTTCTTCCAGCGACCCACCTCCGCATAGAGCAGGTCAAAGTCGTCCTTGTTGCGGGGGAACTGCTTAACCACTCGATGCCTCTCCACGCGCTGCTCCACGCATTTCTCATATCGCTCATCCTCCTGCTCGCGATTTTGCACCAACCGACTGGATGGGATTGTTATAAAGAAAATGATGTAAAACCCATTATGGGTCAACCCAACATTATGTTCACCACCCACCGATATTCCTTGGCTCGCATGTGAATATACTTCCACAAAATCCAGCGCCTCCAGTTCCGCTGGATGAGCACGATCTTCTCGAGCTTACGTTCAGCCCGTTCCCTCTGGGCAAAAGTCTGGTACTTGCCAGGAACAATGGTGAAGTCATTGGCTGCGGAAACATACAGGATATTGATGCCATCCAGATGGCATTGCACCGACTGCTCATGGGCTGTGTTCTGGCGGGCGTTTTAGGGTAATCGTTTGCAATATGTAAACTATAATTTGTTTAACCCACCAAAATCTTCTCCTTATGTTCCCAGGTTTGCGTGTCTCTCGACTTGTACTTTCTGTACTTCATCTTATCGAAGTACGGTCCAGTTTGGGTGAAGGCATCCAGGTACTCCTTGCCAGTGTTCTTGTCCCGATAGCCGCAAAGGAAGGGCTTGACTATGGCTGCATTTTCAATCTCCACCACTACGGTTTTGGACTGGCCATCCTGGGTGTCTTCACCGGAGATGTGGACAGTAATGAAGTCCGCCAGACGGTGTTTGCTGATGAGAAGAAATGTGTTTAATGTGTTGAAAAAGACACCATTTCCTATACCCACTCGTAGTAGACATCCAGATCCAGCTTGGAGGTCAGATCCTCAGTACCCTCTTTATAAAGCTGGAGTTGGAACTCGTGGATGCCGAACTCATCCAGGGCAGTGGAGTTTAGGGGCACAGAATCGCAGAGGATGCGACCATCCTGCTGGAGAACAAGCCATCCCGGTTCCACTTCGAATTTTCGGGCAACGTCCTGCTTCACCTCGCCCAGGGTCATGCAGTTAGGATAAACTTGAGCCAGGATGTCGGATTCTGAGAGCCGGAACTTAACCGTCACGTTCTCCAGCTCTACACAGCATTCTTCAGAGTGTTGCGGTTCCGATTCGGTACTCCGGGAATCCAAAGGCGGTGGACACCCCGGTGGCAACCTGGGTCGTTCGCTGGGCTCCACATGCAGCTGCACATTGCACACATACTCCGGGCCACGCTCCTCCACGCTCATCTTGCCACACAAAATATACTTATCGATGGGAGGAGAATAATAGTTTGTAGCTGAGGTAATTCCAAATTAGGCCTGAAAACTGCCTGCTGAGATATTATAAAAGAGGATAACCATGGGTGGGAGCCACGAATTTGTTCAATAACATTTTAGCCGCTGCTAGGCGCCCTGTTGTGGCAACGGGTTGTAGGCCAAAAAGCCGTTTAAGCCCTAATTTTGTAGGGTTCGAGCACAGTGAAGCTACTGAGGCCATTAGCAGACATTTAATTTTACTTATGTACATAGTTTTGTAACATACAATCCTGATAGATGACTTATATATATCTAGGTATTAAATAAGCTTTGTACATCCATATATTTCAAAACCATTTGGTTAGAAAATGGTTAAATCCGTTTAAGCCCTAATTTCGTGGGGTTCGAGCACAGTGAAGCTACTTAGGCCATTAGCAGACATTTAGATTAACTCATGTAAGTAGTTTTGTAATATACAATCCTGACAGATGACTTATCTAGGTATTACATACACTTCAAAACAATTTGGTTAAAAAATGGTTAAATCCAATAATTATTTGTTGCCTAAAATGTTATATTCATCAAAAAGTATATAATATGTTATAGATCAATTGGTAATTATAGATTTGTCTGCCTTATAGAAGTTCCACTTATAGAATTTCAACTGTATTTAGGTTTTCTCACGCATTCGCAGTGAATTTTCACGAGTGAAAGCACACAATCATCTAATGGGCTCCTCAAACTCCACTGGGCATTTACAAATTTGCATACACATAAATAGTTTCTAATTGGCCCATTTTCGGCGTCTTCCCAGTTCGATCTGCCACATTTCAGTGGCTTATTATTTGTTATTATTTATTGCACAACTCGAAGCATTTGCCATGCGCAAAGACAACGGTGACAGTAATTACTTTTACTAAATGGATTGGAGAGATGGTCGGACCACACGTGAAGATGATTTCAAGCCACCGAGGGGGCTACCGATGCGGAAGCCGTCTTAATAATGATGGTTAAATATTATATCATGATCCAAACAGATATCATCAAATTTAATGGCCCCCCAGCTTTTAGCGATTTCTTTTGACCCAATTCGGGGGATTTTGTCAATACGGCTCATAGGAAACGCGATCCAGTTGAAAGGTTTTGCCATTTCCCCTTTGAGGCGGGTTCCATTCAAAAGCCGCTTAACAAATTCGCTTGCCCAACCCCGAAAAACAAAGCAATTGTTGGTTGTTTCTTTATAATTTTATTATTTGCTAACTAAGTGTACTAATAAATAATGTTTTTGTTATAGTAAAAGTTGGACTTTAGGTTGAGGGCCGTCAGTGCGGACTTTTTATCGGCATGGGCCACCTGCAGTCGATGTGGGCGTCCGTTGAAATAGTAATCCTTCTGATGCTGCACTCGGAGCACTTTACTGGGTCCCCGATGATCCAGATTGGGCCTGGATGTCGTCGTCGAAGGACGAAGCGTTGGGCTCTTCGTCGTCTTCTCCGCCTCCTGGAGAATGGGATTGATTTTCATCGGCTGATAGTCCAGACCAATGCCGGGTATGTGACGGAAGGGCAGTGGGGGTACGGGTATGTAATATATTTTCGAATCCTTTTTCGTTTTTTTCGTCTTACTGCCGTTCTTGTTGTACTTGCGCAGATTCAGCGGCTTCGACGTGACCACGTAGTCCATGTACAAGTTGTCCAGCGACGGCGATTGCACCACAATTCGGTTGGCTAGTCTCGTGGGCGGCGACGCATCTGCCCTTGGGCCATAGGAATAGGGTCGAGCTGCCACCAAATTGGCAAAAATGAGTAGAGATGCCCATGGAAGCAGCGGCGACATGCTGAAAATGGATACAAAGGTGGGTTGTTAGAGCTTGACAAGTAATAATCGGCAACAATTATTTTAATTGGCTAAAACTATTCTACTTTAGGAAATTTCGAAAAATTTGTTAATAATGTGTGAGAATTCTGATATAAGAGAAAAAAAATTCTTTAACTAACAACTTGTATTTCCCTACATTTTAAATGTACATTTGAGTAAGATTTTGCCAGGTGAGCATATAAAACAAATTCAATTTTCGGGTATCTTAAACAGTTAACTATCATCTGAGATTGTTTTTATTTGTTGGTGTTCATTCAATGGTTTTTCTTCTTCTAAAGTTAAGATCTCTAAAAAGACTAAAATAAATAAACAATTTATTTATGTTTTTTAAAACCATATATATAAAATGGTATTAAGGTAATATAACAACATTAAATAGGTATTTACAACTTTAGTTAAGCCTAATTAATATATATAACATATTTTATGTATTTAAAAATACAATTATTGAACCAAATATTGAATAGGATTAGAAAAAGCCAGTGGCTGGGCAAATATTTATGAAAGGTGAGAGAATGTCAAGGCGTCGCGCAATGAAAGTGTTGAGTGCCACCCACGCCCCACTTGACGGGTTGTCCGATTGTTCGGGGTTTTGATCGATGGGGTGGCAACCGAAGTGGCAAACTGCTCGCATTCAAAATAATATTAATGATGGCCAATGCGATTTTCTGCAAGTCACATGCCAAAGCCGAATAATTTAATAACAAATAAATTGTCTGTGCGCATCAAAGCGCAAAATGTTTCGCCTTAACATTGTAAAGTTTCTCACGTTCCCCACATACAGTGTACACAACTACATATAGAAACCGAGGCACTTACAGACCAGAGATAATTTTCGTTTCGATTTGATTTAAATGAAAGCATTTAATGCACGCTAATCAAAGCGACGCCGGCAGAGCAATTACGCTAATGAGCGAGTCGAGCGCCATCCGCGGCGCAGATTTCAACGCTTCAGTGATTAATGAGCCAGTGGAAAATAAATTGATCGCCGCAACAGCCGAAAAACCTGGGATCGAAGTGGATAACACGATTTTTGGGCTAACTAGGGGCGTTTGCGGTTCGCCCACTGTTTCAACAGGTTGCGGGCTATGCAAATAGCTTTGAGTATATGTTTTCCGATAAAGACATTTGTCTAGCTCTTAGGTCTGGCAGAAATCCCAAAAAAAAGCGTGTAAGTGATAAATTGCAGAAAGTTGGAAATTTGTTATGTTAGCTGATCACAAGCCCCGCATGATATATGATATCGGGGTGATCAGGGATCGCTGCGATAATAGAACAAAAAGAAAAAAAGCGAAATTCGAGAGACCACACACATAAACGTCTAGGCTCATTACAATTTAATTGTTCAAAACCCTAATGACTCCCAGTTCGCACAGTTCAGGAACTAGAAACTGGAAAACTAAATTTAATTTGTCCACTCACTGACTTCAATTATCTAAGGCTGTTTTATTTTGCGCCTATATCAACAGCATTGCCAAGGTCATTTTCGTGATGCTGGCCATGATTAATCATATCACGCTCCTCTCTGTGGTGAAAGACGAAAGACTCAGGCAACGAACTCGAAACGAGGCAAACGAAAGACTCTGGCAGCGAACTCGCTGCAAACGAAAGACTTAGGCAGCGAACTCGATGCGGACGGGCGGCAATTATAAACTTATTAATGAACCGCCTGCCAGCCGTCAAATGCAAATGATTTAACGTTCTATGGGCATACGACTATATTCTAATCGCACTCACTTTAAATGGCTGTGACTGCAGCTGCCGGTTGGCTAAGTTGATTACGGATTTTCCTTAATTATATTTGCCGATTGTAGAATTTATTGCCCGTGTGTCCTTCAAGTGAAGATGTTTTTAACTTGAATGGCTAGATTGTGGAAACTAATTTATGCGTAATGATGCGAGCACGTTTATGGTTGGTTTTTTTTTTAATTTTACTTGGCGTATCGCATCTAAAATTCACTTTATTCGCGTTAGTTTTTCGCGCTTTCCTCGCACTGCTTTGCCGACGCTTCGATTTTTTTTGTTTTTTAGCTTGAGCGCGCAGCTTTTGAACGTTGTGAACGGCTCGGAGTGCCGCAAATAAATGAGATCTGCGGACTGTTTGTAATTTGTTTTTTTCTCTTTTTCTTCTTAAATCAAAAATCAGTCGGCCGCTCTGCCGGCGTCGCTGCCTCGCTGCTTCTCTGTCGTCATCAGCGGCAACTGGATTTATTATTGTGTGGGGTCCCATCCCATCTCAACCCATCCCATCGCCTCCCATCCCATCGCAGCCGATGAAGAAGACTGGGGAGCCAACTGGTTCGCCGGATGGCAGATGATCTTCGGATGATGAGCGGCCATAAATTAGCCAGTTTATTGTTTGTCCACTTACTGTTACACTTGGCAATTGCACTTGGCGGGATTTGCTTGCTCCGCATTTGCCATTTGCTTAACAAATTCATCAGCTATGCATTTCTCGGCTCCCCGACCAGAACTGGGCAGGAAATCCAACACCACTTGACCAGTCGGTCTGCTCTCGATTGGATTACAGCTCGGTAGCTTCTTTAACCCTCTGGTAAAAAGCAAGGCCGGGTGGGCAGGTCCTTAACCCTCGTTTATATCCTATATTATAGTTATAATTCTAATTCTAATATGGACTGATTTAGAATTCACATAAACCAAATTATATTTATGTTTAGCACTCCATAAAAACTCCAAATTTATTATTCTTTTGTTTTTCTAGTTTAGTATTCCTTTTGCGCCTAAGATTAATTAAATCTTTACCTAATTGGTACAAATTTCTTCACAACAAATACAAAACTGTATGTATCTACATAAATTTGAATATTTTCTCAGCTTGTTTTGATAACATGAGTTGAATAATGCTTACAAATTAATTTGTGAGTTCATGATGTTTATTTATTATTGGCTACTTTTGCCAATTTTTTTGGTTCTTAGATAGTTCTTTGCAAATACCTCATTATGCTTTTAACTAGAAACTTTTGTAGTTTAACAATAAAGGTCCATTTAATATGATAAGCATAAATTTTGGTTTTAATAAAGGCTACCAATGGCAAAGTTAACAGATTAGCGATAAACTATTATATCTTTTATTATTCATGAGAAAGAGGGTTAAGAACTTGTGCCTGACTCCACGTCGGGTTCGGAATCGGGGAATCGGGGTCTAGTCTGGCTGGCAGCTCCTTTGTCTTTTCGATACTCTGCACAAATTAGTTACAAATGAACCTACGACAACAAAAGCCGTTGGCGGTAACACGAAGCCTTCGTTGAGGTAGGGCTAGGGTCTCGGTCCAGTCTGCTCTTCTCTTCTCCAAGTGGTTTTATGTTTGCTTTTTCGGTTTGGCTTATTGACAGGCCACCAGGCAGCTCCAGGTCCAACTCCAACTCCGTCTCCGACTCCATATGCGTGTGGCGCTCCAAGGGATCTGTGCGTTTTTGCCCTCATCATAATTTAATTGGAATGGCAAATGGTGTTCGGGGCATTTTTCTAAACACTTCTGCGTGAGCTGCTGACGTTGATTGGGAGTGTTGGAATGATTGAAATGGGAATTTCTCGACCTTGCAGCCGATGGATGTGGAAGTTGTGACCCAATGAGCCAGAAGTACTTCCGGTAAATCATAGAAAATGCTCATAATTCATGGCGAAATTTGAGCAAACATGCCTCAATTAAATCACTCCAGGCACCGTTTTATGAGCCGCTAATTACAACAAGTAAAAGCAACTAACACAATTGCTGCGATGAGGGATTATATAAAGGCATTTCCAACTTTCCCAGGGCCCAGCCATCTTTCACCGGGTCTTCTGACCACAGAGACTATCTAAAATTTGGGGAACTGAATAAAATACAAATGACATAACCGCAAACATTGGATGCGAACAACTTCCCAACTTATGTCTCTGCTGGTATGACACTTAAAATATTAATTAGCCTTGGCAGCAGAACTCCCGGCAATTAGGCCTCCGGTTTAAAGTGTGTGTTGAAGTGCGTAAGCTCTCGCATGTGCCGAATGGCCAATGGTATCGGAATCTATATATATCTCCATGTGGCATATACCCGTTCTCACAGCCAACTGCACGCACCACCTGCCACAAGAACGGGCAGTCAGAGGCCTAATTGTAATTGTTAGCGATTAGACAACACAAATCACGAACAAGCTGCAAACGCCTGTTTCTGCTCTCTGTGCATCTGTAACGTCTTCGTGCCTCTGATTCTGATACTGATACTCATACTCATACTGATTCCGATTCAGTTCCATTTCAAGCGCCTCGTGTGAACCCAGTTTTAGGCATTATTAAGAGTAATATGTTTAATGCTGACGGAAGCAATACGAATAGATGGCACGGGCACGGGGCACCAAAACAGACAGCTGAAAGTGCACTTTGCAAAAAATATGGAATCTTTCAAAATTTGAACATTAATTTTACATCTTACATATTTTTCCGAAGATTTTTATCCTCTATCTTGTCTAAAAATATGTCAAACAGGTCAGAGATTTTTAAAATTCAATAAAGGGAGTCGGCACGTTTTCTATTTCTCTAGTTTCGTCCAAAGTAGGGACTTTTTAATTAACAAATCAGTGGGTTTTTGATAAATATTAAATTTTTTAACATTTTCCAAAGGTCTGTTTTATATCAGGTTATATTTTCTAGACCATAATGACAAAATATATAATAATTTAGTTACTTTAATAATTAACAACTTAAGTACATTATTTGGTTTGCGATAAGGATCACACATAGATTGTTAGGTTTTTTCCCGTGCAGAAGACCCACCCGGTGTTTATCATCCTCGCCAAAGTCATCAGCAGACTTGGTCTGAAGACCTGGCTGGAAGCCAGTCTTTCTGTCTTGGCCGGTGTCTTTGGGTCTGAATGACAGACACACTCTTGGCTCTTAACTCCTAACTCTTGGCACTGGTATCTCGTCTCTGGCCTGCTGGCGCTTGCGTGTTTGGCTACTGAATTTTTAAGCATTTGCCAGCACGCCGTGAAGTCGCAGAAGTTGATGGAGGGGAGAGCGGGGCTCTAAGGCTTCATTTACATTGGCAACGTTTTAATTAGCCGCTTATAAAGACACACAGAGAGCCGAGATCCATTTAGATGAATGGCTGGAACACCCACCGACAGTGCTACGTCACAGTAAAGCCGACTAATCAGCCGGCTTAAATCGCAACGATTATATATGGGCCAATTATAGCGAATCTTTTATTGTCGATAAATTCGCAGGTTCGTTAAACCCGCAGAGCCCATAAACTGACTCACATGTGGAGTTCGAGCACTTTGGGCCGGGGCTTTGTCTCCGTATTTGAGTTTGCTTTTGTCATTCGGGGTGCTTGGCATGTGGACACCACATTGGATCCACATCGGATATCCATCGGGTGCATTCGGAATGAAGTTGTAGACTGGACTTACGCAACCACATGCGCTATGTCGACCATACCGATTCGGCCGTGCACTTGGCATTTCTGAGAGTTTAGCCCCTGGTTATCGGGGTCATAACTGCCAACACGTTGCCAGCTCAGCGACTTTCATCGAAAGTCAAATATTTGTGGAGCACGCAAAAAGAAAAGTGTAACGAAAGGAAAAGACCTGCCAGCCGGCCATCGATTGTCAGCCGCAAGATTCAATATCTGCTCATCCGTTCCAAAACGTTTAGCGAATTCTTCGCGGGATTTGTGAAAGTCCCCGGGGGCAGGGAGCAGGTTAAAATGGGCGTTGCGATTTCCAGCGGAGCTTGGCCTCCACCGACACCAAATGGGGGCGATTGGCTGGCTTTGGATTGGATTGGATTGCCAGTCGGCCATCGGCAGTCAAGATCCATTGAGTCTGGCTCTATTGAGTCATAACCAGGGGCTCAAGTGGTTCGGGGAAAGAGCTCTTTAGCTCTACAAGCTGTCCAGCGAAGAAAGAAAGAGTGAGTACCCAAGAGAGCAGGCGCAAGTGGAGGGGAGTCCCCGGGTTCTGGCCGAGTTCTAATTGCACCAGTCAGTTTTACGAGCTAATATGATAGGCGTTCAGAAACTATTTTGACTAGATTTGTCTTTGCTAATACAAATGTTTAGATATAATAGTAGGTTATCTATAAAAAATATTTGGCACTTATTGAAATATGTCAAGGTAAGGGCAAGTAATTATTATTTTGCGTGCTTGCAACTCAAGATAAAAATCATGAGCAATAAATTCGACCTTCAGCTGTCAGAGGAGATGGTTTGTGTATAAAGATGAGTATCTTGACATGGATGACATGGCGGGCGAATCCTTAGCCATATAGAGCTTGACCAGTGCTTTCAAAGACATCTTTATCACCCACACCGAATTAAGACCTCTGTTTTCACCGATATATATCTTTTGGAGCCGTTGATTTATACCCACCATAAAGCCGACCTGCGAAACTTTCCAAGCGGCCAACAATCAGAGCAAGCGATAGATAGATATATGGATAGATCGTTAATGATGGCTTTATGGCCTTTTTCAGTGGCTGGGAGATTTTAACACGTCGCCCGTCGAATGGCGCAAAAATTCTTTCGCTTTTCCATTAATGACCGAGAAGTTAGTTTTAGATAATTGAAAACCAGTTGGTCAGTAAAAAGGAAAAGCAGAGGAAACATGAACCGAACGGAAAACTTAAAATACCCCGATGTTTGTATTGTAATTGCGTTAAATGCATTAATTATTTGCCAGCCAGCGGACGAAAAAGAAATCATTGGAAACGACGTTAATTACCCGACGGCTTATATTGTTTCGGCTGCCTGCCAGAGGCAGCAAAAGCGAACTATTATTTCAATTGGAATTTAATTTCGTAAGTGGGCATTGTTTGTATTTGCCATCTTTGAAGCTGGCCTAAATGCGAGCTTGCAAAAAATGATTCGCCCCATGGACGAACCCATCTGTCGACCTTGAGAGCCCAACGAGCCATTAATGGTCTCCGAAGTCACACTTCGTTGTGGCCGATCCCCATCCACGGTGTCAATAAACCCCGTTTCTGGAGAATCCATCTGGTTGGCGACGGTCGCCCCAGCATCCACATTCTTCACACACATCTCATCTTATCGCCGGACCAAAAGATCATCAAATGCCACCATCAGCGACACTTAAGCTGTTATCAATGTATCTATTTTCATTGCTTTTAAACTGCTCGGCTGGCCATTATTGTCTCCCTTTTGAAAACGAGGCCGTAAAACTTTAATTTCAATTGAAACACGATTAGCATCTGGATTTCAGAGCATTGTCTGTGGTTTAATGACTCCCTTTTTATAAATAAACTTTGTTTTTAGTTTACGGTAGCACAAAAAGACGTTTTTGAACTTAAGTCGGAATCCAAAAATGGCAAAATAGGACTCGACGAGGATGGGATTCGAACCCACGCGTGCAGAGCACATTGGATTAGCAGTCCAACGCCTTAACCTCTCGGCCACCTCGTCATATGCGACCTTGGCAGCCAAATGCTCATTTGGTGCACCGCTTGCTCTGGCGGCAAGCAGTGTTAGTTCTTACCGGTGAAAGGTCCCCTAATCAAATACTTAATGCGGTTGAAAATCTACAATCTGACTAAAATAAAAAACACACGCATAATTTTTTAATTTTTTGATTTCAAAACTGTTATCAATAATGTCTAAAGGTGAATAAACAAACCCATAACAATGTTCTAATGCCGGCTGCACTGCTTGCTATCGATAACAACGTGGCATAGCAGTTCGCTCAGAACTAGTGCCCTGTTGGTCCTACCCGAGTCACTGGACGAGGTGGCCGAGTGGTTAAGGCGTTGGACTGCTAATCCAATGTGCTCTGCACGCGTGGGTTCGAATCCCATCCTCGTCGACAAAACTTTTTGTTTTTTTTATTGTTTTTATGTTTCTAATTAAAGCTGTCAACTTAAAAATGTTAAGAGCAAATAATAAGAACATACGTGTATGTCGTTATCGAGCAATTGAATGGAATTGTACAGCTGGAGAGAGTAAGTCTTGTTTATGATTGGCTAATAATTGCGTCAATAAAGTTCAATAAAAAAGTGCGTTAATATTTATAGTTTTTAGGAAGCATCAACATACGTATTTAGCCACGCGTAAAGATAATAAAAAAGTATAAGTGTAAGGTAAATTAAAGTCCAGATAGTGTAACTCTGTTGTTAAAAGCATTCGAAGAATTCCTAAATTTTAAGTTATTAAATTTAGTTCAAGGACATTTAACTTAAGGACATTTATCGCATATTTTATTAATTTAGCGAAATATTTGCAAGCCTTATTTCAAAAAACGATCTAAAACGGCTATTTCCAAGTTGACGAGGTGGCCGAGAGGTTAAGGCGTTGGACTGCTAATCCAATGTGCTCTGCACGCGTGGGTTCGAATCCCATCCTCGTCGAAATCACTTTTTTTTGGTATTTTTTTCTTTTTATAAATACCAACGTTTTTGAAGTTTTTTGAACCAAAAAATTTTTCTCTTGATGATAATTGAACCTACTGGTTTTAGGTGTAAGTTAAAATCAAAAGGCATTAAAAAACTATAAAGTTTAATTCAATAAAAATATATAAAAAGGATCGTTCGACGAGGATGGGATTCGAACCCACGCGTGCAGAGCACATTGGATTAGCAGTCCAACGCCTTAACCTCTCGGCCACCTCGTCTTCGGAGAAGCATTCTGCGAAAAACCCTATTTACCGCAAAGCAGAACCAACTTCTTATCAAAGAACCCACAAGTACTGGAACTAATTGAACCCTATCGAGAGAGATAATAAGTGAACTAAACTGATTCGAATCACAGCAACGTTGTCCGGAAGTGTTTGCTTAATTTCTTTAGCAAACTCTCAATTGTTTGTTTAAAAATTGTGTCAATAGCATTGGCAAAAATAATTGCAAGCACCACAATTAAGCTTTCAAAGATTTGTTTGCCTTGGTTCTTCATGTGTTTGCAGTTAAAGAAAGTAGCTGAGTTTGGCTCGTGTGGGGCGATATCTTAAGTGCAGCTTAGGGTTTCAAAAGGGGTATTTAAGACTTAAAAGCATTTGGATTTTGAAAACATACATAGAATTGTAGGTTTCTCACTATGGAAGGTTTCAGTGCGCACAATATAGGGCATTTCGGGTTTAGGTCTGCTAAATATTAATACTCACCGAGTAATTTGTTTACCTAGCCCGTCTGAAGGGCGTCTTCCTGAGGGGTTTCCAATAATTCAGATTCTCGGCCGGCGGTCGTGCCGCTTCTGACCCAGTTCTCTGCCGATCTGCTGTCTTGGCTTCGATTTCTTTTTATATCTCCCTCTTTTGGTGTAAAAAACAAAAGTGGTTTACTTTAGATGGGCCATGCTCAAGCGAGTGTGTCGGTAGCGATGCGATGATGGGGCTGATGATTTAATACGAGAGCTTCTGCCTTTTAAATGGCAATTGCCATCAGCAGTGGCACCAACAACCACGGCGTTTTGTTTGGGCCATGTTTGTGTCCAGGCTGTCAGTTGGTGTTAATGAACCCTTGTAGCCTGATAGCTGTTAGTTGTTTACGTTCCGAATGCCGATACCGCGATAGCACCACCGATCCTACACTGAAGAAAGCTATATTGAAGAAGAATATTATGACTTAATTGGTTAGGCAGTTAGTAAGGAAGGTTTTCATAGTTCTTAGCTATGGATACGTTGATCTTTATAGACGGAAAAGGTTTAAATATAGTCAATCCTATCTTGAGATCTATTAAACTTACATATGTAAAAAACATTTAGGAATTTACGAAGCTAGAAATTGGGTCGAGTTTAAATTTAATGGTTATCAAAAGAAATCAAATGTATGTAAAACTGTTTAGTTTACCCCATATAAAACTTTTCCATTATAATTACTATCAAAGCAGTGCTTAAAAAGCACATATCCTGATATACGAAATTATTAATTGTTAATATCTTGAAAGTTTATTCTGTATCTCCGTATTTCTATTTTTATTTAACAAGTATTTCCCCAAAATCATTGATGTAAGAGGGTTTTAATACCATACCTTAAGAATTTATCCTGTAATCCCAAATTCTAACGTTTTTTCGCTGTGCATCTACGACATTGTCACCTAACGTGGCTTCGTTAGGAAAGTGGCCAAGTTTGATGATCCGCAGGCACGCGCGTTTTATATTTAGCCCCACACCAGGGCGACTGGGATCCTCGGGCCCGAAGAACTGGGGAGCGGGGCTAGTCACGTGCACAAGGACATTCCAAGGCTAATTACGTGTGGCATGGGGCTTGGCCAAGTTGGGTTCCTTGGGCTTGGTTTTGGCTGGAGTTTTGGTTCTTAAGCCTGGCTTCTTCGTACTGGGTACTAGGCACTACGATAGTGCCTTTCGTTGGGTAATAGTAATACACACATAGAACACGAACCGTTCATTATTGTCGTCGCTTGTTGTGGCAGCCGCCGCAATCTGCGGCATGTATCTGTATCTTTTGCATCTGCGTGGATGTTGCTGCTGCCGCTGCAACCGCCGCTTAATTAGCTGCGTAATTTATTATTGCTCTAATCTCAACGCCGGCGCCAGTGCCGCTGGCTTTGACAAATAAACAAATTATTCATATTAGAATATTAATAGTGCCTGTAGGGTTTATCTGCTCCGGAGTATCTGTGGCATCTGCCATAATTATGACCTGTTTGACAGACGTTTTCCATATTTTCTTTTTTTTTTTCTTGTGCTCCCAGCCTGGGAGACTTTGACTGGCAGTACTGACTGGCTCTTACTTGGTAATGGTGAGGCGTACAATAAAGATGCACACTAACTAAATATGTAGGCACGCCGATGCAATCGCACAATTATGCCCAATTATGCAACTGGGAAGAGATCTTTAGATCAGCAGGAGCAGGTGCTTTAGCCAGGTTGCTGGGTTCTATGGTTCTTTGCTGGGTGAGAGGTGCTGGGCTAGGTGCTATGTGGAATGCCAGGCGGATATCATTGACTAATGAGCCCATCTCCGTCTCAAACACGACGTCTTCTTTTGCCCTGTCATAAAAATTAAAATGCATAATCGCGGGCGTTGCTCGGAGGGCCCTTGTTACCCCAGTCGGGGACCTTTTGTCGGTGGTAATTAACATTGCTCGCGATTCCTCATCGCAATACCTTTGGCTTTAGATAGCAAAATGCAGCAATTGCATGTGGATATGGTTATTTGCAGCTGGCAGGGTTATTCACAGTGCGGGCTAATTAAGCCGGCGTTTAAGCCGCCGGCAATTAGCCGATTTATCACTTGCCACAGAACCTCAAAATCATGCCCCGAGATCGCTGAGAAAAGCTCGGGCAAATGCAAACAAACTTATGGCCCAAACACTCAGCGCACTTAACTTCTTCACTTCACTTTACCTCTTCTTCAGTTCTGCGCATGCGCAGCGACGTCGACGCCGACTGAGCCTTAGCCACTGGGAATGTGGGGATTCTGGCCGGACCAGGGCCCCACTATATAAAGCCCCGATTCTGGCCGCGATCACACTCATTTCTAGTTGAACGCGCCTGCCGACCAGTGGGCAAATTGAATCGTTGGCATCCCGATCAGGACTCATCGATATCCGCTTAACAATCACGTGAGTCTTAACCAAGTGAAAAGGTGAAAGGATCCTTGAAGGAAAGGTGTGAAGTTGTGTGATTAAAATGTAATGTTAATTCTTGGGAAACTTTGAGTTCTTTAAGTAATAGATAATTCATAGAATTTCTCTCATGTAGAATATTTATACCAATTTGCATGTGTTACTAAACTTTGCTCATCAGAAATACTTTAGTCTCAATAAAAGCTTAAGAGTAGGATTATAATTATATTATACAACAAACAATTTAACAAATCCAGCGGCTTAGCTTCAAAGTAAAGGTAATAGCTACATATTTCTCAAGTAAAGGTACTTCATTTAATAAGGAGTTATTATTAGCCTGGGTACTCTCCCCACTTTGTTAGCACATATTTCGGCCCGATCTTAACCAGCCGTGCTGATCCAAAGTGCTGGCCATATTTTTTCCGTTGCTTATATGTGCTGGCCAGGGGAAAATACGCTGGTTGCGCAATTGGAGTGTGAGAAACTAGCTCGCGGCATGCAAATCAGCTCGAATGGTTTGGGGTCAGTTGGAGATCATCAAAAGTTTTACTCACCGGCAATGCCATGATCCAATTACAGCTTCCACCTGAGATGGCCAACCACATGTGGAGCATCATCGTGGTTCTGCTGGTGCTGGAGCAGCTGGTGGCCGAATCCGTGGCGGCCAATCTCGCCCAGCTGGTGAAGAAGCAGAGTCAGCAGAAGCAGGTCCAATCCTCGCAGGCGGGACAGCAGCCAGGTCAACAACTGCCACAAGGACAGCAGATCCATGCCCAACAGTACGTCCAGGACAACCTGGCCGAGCAGCAGGATCTCAAGTCTGAGGACGAGGAGGATCACGATCCCTACCAGCTGCTGCAAGAGTCGAAACAGGAGTCCCGTCTGCCCAACTCTGCCAACTATCCCTGGAGTCCCTATGCCGCACACCAGGGGAATCCCTACGAGGCCATGCCCAAGATGCTGCCCTTCATCGGATATGCCCAGCCAGTGCTCATCCCCTTTCCCCTGTACTTGGCTCCGGATATGTTTTATCCCGCATTCTCCGGAGCCTCGGGCAATGACCTTGAAGATGTGGTGATGTCCAGAGCCGCCGGCGGACGACGTCCTGGGGCCAATCACCCTTCACCTGCTCGCAATTCACCCATTTACTATGTGAGATTACCGCCCACACCCTATATGTTTTTGCCCAACATGCCGACATCTCCATTTGGCGGAGGATTCTCACCGCTGCTCACCTACCAGCCGATGCCCTCCTTCTCCGCCTACGGATCTGTCTTCAATCTGCCCGTGAACTTTTTGGCCAACGGAAAACCCACTGGAGTGTACCAGGTGAATGGATCCCCGGGAGAGGGACTGGCAGCCTTGACACCTGGCTTGGGTGGCGGTGGATTTGGCATGCGGCCTCCCACGCCCAGTAATCCCTACAGACCCATGACGGCACCTTCGATGGGTGGTTACGGCGGCCCCCAGCAGAGCTTCGGCCTGGCCTCCATGCCAGTTCCTCAGCAGGACTCCAAGCTTACGTCCCTGAAGCGCCCCTTCGTGTTCAACGGTCGTCCCGAGGACATATACATCCTGCCCAACAACCTGAGTCCGCTCTACAACGAGCAGAGCTACTACTAAAAGCTCCTTTCGCAAATGGCTGTGGCACCAACTAAAAGTATTACGCATTGCATTTACTAGATTCGTATTTGGATCTTAATGAAGCCTAAAAAGTAATTTAATAAAATATATATTGTCCGTAACTTAAAATGCCTTTTTTTTTGGAAATTCGTAGAACTTACAAATAATAAAAAGCAAACAATTCGTAATCCGAAATTTATGTTTTGTATAAATTGTATATTTTTGGCCGAAAATATCAGACGGGTTAGACAAATAAATAAATGTTATAATATCCTAAACAGCCGAGCTGCTCAGACTTCAAGCAGCGAAGGCAAAAAACTTCTCCAAAGGGCTCAAGTATGTAAATTCCACAAAAGTCGAGGGGTTTTCCTCAATCAGTCACCAATGGCTGCCACCTGGGCGGTTTTCCGCCTGATATACTCCTGATCCCCCAGGTTAATGGCGCCGCCCACCAAGCCTCCCGTGGTTAAATCGAACTCGTAGACCCGTGGCACGCAGTTAGGAATGTTGACCTTTTCGATGGCCTCGTTGGAGATTCCTGTGGAAAATGGTTTACATAATTAAGATTATGATTAAAAAAAATATTCAACTAATTCAAAAATAAAGCAAAATAATACTTGAAATTATAATTTTGAATTTCCATATGTAAAACTTAAGATCAATAGAATTTATAGAGCTCTTATACTTGGAAAGGATAAGATTATTTTTTGTTTATCTATTGCATAGCAAAAAAGCTTTTTGTCTATTCTCGCAAATTGTAAGACCAAATTGAAGCAAATGTTTTGACTTTATATGGCTTCTTCATTTATAGATGACTCACCCTCGATGTGCTGAACTAGGGCTCGTGCCACTGTGCCATGGACGCACATCAGCACTCGGGAGCCCTTGAGCACCTCCCGCTTGACCTCCTTCCAGACTGGTTTCACCCGGTCGACGCACATGTGCAGGGACTCGGAGAGCGGGAACTCGCCGGGAGGAACGTCATCGAAGATGGGATTACTGCAGATGGTGTAGTAGTAGCGGTTGCTCTCCTCGATGGGCGGCGGAACACAGTCGTATCCTCGTCGCCAGGCCTGAACCTGCTCCTCCCCGTAGCGATCGGCCACTTTCCGTTTCCGGTAACCTGTCAGATCTCCGTAGTGCCGTTCGCATAGCCGCCAATCCTCTTTGATGGGCACATAGGCACAGTTCAACTTGCAGAGAATCAATTCGGCAGTTTGCCGCGATCTACTTAGTACGGATGAATAGACCACATCGAATTCCAGCTGAGATTGGGCCAGTGCAGGAATCGCCACGGTTAAAGCCTCCTGGATACCTAATTTTTAATAATTAATGGTTAAATATTAACCAGATATTTCTGGATTATTTTAGATTTGAATCTCACCGAACTCGCTCAAGGGCGCATCGTGCCACCCGCAGAATTTGTTCTCTATGTTGAAATCGCTTTCGCCATGCCGCAAAACCACCAAGCGATTCGTCTTCGTCATAAATTGGGAGCTGAAAGAGAGGAAGTGATATTGTGGTTAGTTCAAAATCCGAGGAAGAACTACTGTGCTATGTACTATGTCTTAGAAGTGTTTGACCTAGCCAAAAATTTTTCTAAATATGTACTTGAACTTTTGTAACTCGAACTTCCTTAATTCGAAGTCCTTACAAAAAAGAGATTATAAAAGTTCATAAAAGGTTTATTATAACTCAAAGTAGTTAGTAGTAGTGCTTCCAGTTTAGGAAGTTCGAATGTATATGATATTTTCTTTAACATTATTATTTGCCACCTTAACGATCATGATAAATGTAGTTATACGAGACATAGTGACTGTGTAATGTTTATATTTCCGAGGGATTTAAAACTTTAGAAAAAGCGATCAAGGTTAAACACTTTTGTTGATGCAATTGGATCACAGTTTCGGTACTGGCGGTACGTGTTGTTGACATTAGGTGGGTCACAGGTTTTCTGCGTATTCGAATGCAGTGGCACTCGGTGCTTAGCTCAGGCTTTATCTGGCCTTGCTTGTTTGGTTTATTTGGTTTATCCACCATAAAGTTTAGTGCGGGGCTTAACCGCCCGATTAGCTGGGGGTGAACTGCAATCTGTGGAGGAACATATACCTCATGGCTGCCGGCGGATGTCGTTTCGCGGATGATAAGGGTGAAGGTATAGATATACTCGTGCGCATACAACTGCCGAGCGCCGGAGACTGGAGACTGGAGAATTCGAACGTGTGCTCACCTCGACACCGTCCGGATGCGATTGAAGCGCGGTCCAGCGGCGGACTCCCCGCGAAGCCCCGACAAAAAAAAATATAAAAACAGAATAGAAGAAAAATCCGACATACGACGAAAGCACCGCGCATTCCGCACATATTTTCGGCTAGTGTATCTGATAGATACAAAGCGCGGCAAAAAAGCGCGCGGCTCGGCCAACATGACGAGACAAAAACAAAATATAATTCGCATTATCTGATTCTGATGTCCAGACGGCAGCATAATCACACGAACACACCCCCACGAAACTGGCCCATTCATTCACACAGATACTATTTTCTGGCTTGGCGTCGTTTTGGGCTTTTGTGTTTTGCTCGCCTCATTCTCGGTTCGAATCTCAATCTCAATCCCAATCTGTGCTCTGTCTGTCTGGCGGCTGTGGTTCTCACTCTGTGATTCTCCTCCAGATTCCCCACCTATGTCGGCCAGGTACCTTCGGTACCCTCTACCTTGGAGATGGAGATACCAGATACTTCCTAGACGTAAACAACGCCCCCACACCTTCGCATACTTACGCCTGGATTTCGCGCATTGTTATTCCCTTTGGTGTTGTATCGTATCTTTTACGTATCTTTTTTGTATCTTTTTTGTATTTTTTCGATATTCGCGTATGTTTACGTTGATCTGGTGTGCTTTTATATATACGTTACAGTTTGCTCTTCAAGAACTTGAAGAAAACCATGGTCTTCCTGGTGCAGCTGCAGCCACCACGTTCCTGTATCTTTCGGATGCCAATTCGCACTAAGCCCGATTCTTATTGGCAAACAATTTTATCGCGGCGCAGTTGTTTTTATTTTTTTTGTTTTTTTTTTTTTGCGGCTGCGGCGGATATTTAATTGTTTTGTTTTCCTCTCGTTGCCGCCAAACAGCTGATTCGCTGGGTTTTACGCTCAATTTTGAATCGACTGGGGAAAATCAATAATAATAACAACATTAACTGAAATTTTTGTAATTGTTTTTGTTGTCTGAGTTAAAACGAACTGTTTACATTTCGGTCAACTAGGCTGTTAAACAGCAAACAAATGCACATTACAAGTTTTTTCTAGCAGTATTTTTGTCTCAGGCTTACCCAAACTTCCTATAATTACTTGTTGCTTTGGTAGAAAAAACTATGGTGAATCTGGTTTCAAAGAAACTTTTTTGTCAACAATAAGATTTCATCTGTAGCATCTCCACTTTGTTGTTGTCACCTAGAAATAAAATAAGTATTAGCTTGCTTAGAACAGAGACTAAAGTGAAGAGGTTAATAAGCTGAAACTTATCACAATTTTCCTCAAATAAAGGTTCAAAATTCACTAAACCACTAAAGTGTGTTAGAACTTTTCCATTTATACCAATTAACATTAAAAAACACTATCAAATGCAAGTTAAAAAGTATTTCAACACAATTTTTATCTGCATTAAGCCCAAAAATATCTGCCACGCGCGATAAGAAATTTCGTATTTAATTTTAGCTGATTTGTTAAACAAACTCACCTGAAAGCTGTTCCAAGTTCGTATTGTAAAAGTAAAAAGTATAAAAGCCATGTTCTATATTTCGATTGTGTGATACATCTGGGAAATAATGAAAACTCTTTGCATTCCGCAGCTGCAAAAGACATTCAACTGAAAACTGGATCTCAAGAGTCTGCAGTCGGGTTGCCTTTCTAAGCTAAGCTCAAAAATTAACATATAACTCAAGGACCAACCAAGAAGCCCAAAATATGACTTGTGTATGTATTTGACAAGAGGATGTCATAAGCAGAGATCAAAATAAACATGATTTATGTACGGTTCGAAATAAGACATGTTAACTATGTTACAAAAAATCAAGTATATATATGTTGCAGGGTATTGTATAATATCATTAAATATTCAATTGTAATCAACATTTAATACAACACTAATGGATTAGCTTAAAATTAAATAATACCTTAACAAGTAAATATGGGCTTATATCTATTTTTCCCTATCTTAGAAAATATTAGCGTTGACAGATCTGGGGTAAATCTAAAATCTTAAAATTACGACCTCCAATAGGAATGTAGTTTTCGATAACCTAACTAATTTTTCTTGTCAAATACATCAGCAGCAAGGAATAAGCTTTTTCTTTTTAGCTGACGTTTTTGAATTCGTTCATTTGCTTGTATATATTTTGTATATTTAGACGTACTTTTTATAAATGGGATGATATATTGGTACAGGAAGTAGCAAAACCTAGATAATATACGACATACTCCATAAGTTATGTCAAAGAATTTCAATTTGTGCAATCTTTTTTGTCCCTATCGAACCCTGTTTTTCAATTATTACTTGCAATCTTGGGGTAATGGCGCCCGAACTCCAGTACCGGGTATGACAACTTCGAGTCGAGATTACCATCTATTGCTGCTCCGTCGAGCGTTTGACAATGCGGCTCTCCCAGTGACGGAAACTAAGACCCAGCACTCTGGGGCCCTTTGGTATAAAGGTTTTGGTCTAAGCCGATCGTGGTTCAGTCTGCAGAGAAACGTGCGTGCATAGCTTTGGTCTTCGGTCAGGGGTTACGGTGTGGTTCGAATTTGGACTAGATTTATAGCGGGTGATCAGGTGGAAAATGCATTTTCCGGCTTTTGATGACTTCTATCAGCGAATTCTACTTTTTTTGCCGTTCGCCGCAAGTGAGTACCAAAATGCAAGCCAGTGAGCTGTGTCGTATCCAAAGAATACGATACATTAGTGGATCTCCTTGATATTGAGACACTAGACATCAATCAATGGATCGATAAGGTCTAGTCTGCAGACCCAGTTCCCCAGATTTTAAGACATTTTGACGTGAAACGGTCATGTACCACCGCTGCCTGTTACGTAGGCCTCATATCCATAGGAG